CACCTCGGAAGGATGGAAGGCTGAGTCAACCTTGAGCCTGGTGAGATTTGATCTGCCAAATTGCAGGCAGCCCAGCAGTTAGCAGAAGTAGCCTGCAGTACTGCACTCTAACCACAGTTCCATTATGGCTCTACAAAGATGATCTTTGTAGGCAAGCTAATCAACTCCCATAATTTGTAGGCAAAGAGCAAGCATATTTTGCCACTGTTTGTTTGTTTGTTTGTTTGTTTGTTCGTTCGTTCATTCATTCATTCATTCATTCATTCATTCATTCATTCATTCATCTCTTAATTCCTACATTCCAAGACAGTAACAGTGCTAGGTGTCGCATATACTGATATAGTTTTAGTAGCATCCTACATCGTATGCCCTTTTTAGCTACTATCCTTAGTATGAAATGTTTGGTGAGTAGCTTAGTTGTACAGAATCGGGACATGCTTTAGAAGAACAAATAAAACATCCCTCTCTCATGACATCTCGTGTTCACATATATCATGCCAAATTCCGACTATCATGTCTTGCTGCCACAATACATAGGACCAAACTTGGAGAATAATGAAAAGTGATCTCCAATCCAAAGGTTATATTTGCATTTGTTGTGCCTTACAGATACTGATTTTTTCTGACAACAATTCAAAGCCGTAGGCAAGAACTCGGCTGCATTTTTCAAGAGGCGCAAGAAGGACGTTTGCTTCCTCCAGCAGGCCTCATATGAACAGGGTTTTTAAAGGCAAACTTCTGAAGTAAAATAGTACATTATGATCTTGCCATCTTCCAGTTGTGGAATTACACAGAGACATCCCATTAGAAGATTTATCCATGAGTCACACTCCAAAGCCAAGACCTACATAGCTGAGAATTCAATCTACCTCAGTTGGAATGTCACATTTCTACTGCAATCCTAGCAGTAGTAATTACATGGTTAGCACTGGCACTTCAGTAGAGTCCAAATTGGGACTTGGGCTAATACTAATACATTCTTCGGGCAGAAGGAAGCTGTACAAATTTAAGAATCTTGCTAATGAAGAAGCAATCTTAAGTGATATCAAAATCAGGGTCCCTTTAAAACAGGGGTGTCAAACTCAAGGTTCGGGGGCTAGATCCGGCTCTTGGGGTACTGAGACTGGGCCCATGGGGCTACCCTGGAAACAGTGAAGGACCAGCCTGCGATGCTTCTGCCAGCGAAAACAGGCTCCTGAGCTCAATTTTTTTTACTGCCAATGCCTCCTGCAACCCTCTGCTAGTGAATATACGGCCCTC